AGGAAATGATGATAATGGTGATAATAATAATAATAATAATAATAATAATAATAATAATAATAATAATGATGATGAAAAGCAGTGATTTTTTTCCTACTCCTTTTGCCACCGCTTCAGCTCACGCCGCTCCGAGCAGGACCCCCCCCTCCTCTTCCTCCCGCATTTCTCCGCCTCCTCCATCCAGCGCCGGGCTCCGCTCCGCTCCGCGGCTCCGCTCCTCACCGGGCTCCGCTCCCCCCCCCGCTCCCTGATTGGACGCCGGGACAAAAGTTTCTGTGGCGACGGCGACGGCGGAGCGGGGACGGGCGGCGCTGTCCCGTGCCGGGATGGCGGCGGAGCGCGGCCGCTACCGGGAGCCGAGCGGGCGGAGCGGCGGAGCCCAACCCCGGTCGCGGCGCTCCGGAACGGCGGCGCTGCGCATCCCGGGCCCCGGTGTCCGCCGCAAGCCGGGATGCGCAGCGCCGCCGGCCCGGAGCGGGGTGGCTCCGTAGCGGTAACAAAGGAAGTGCTCCCCCATGGCAGGCTGTGCATGTTTATGATACGGATGCGAAGCATCGGCTGCTGAAGATGGGAAAGGAGAGAGGCGGACACGTGGTGGTATTGATGTGTGAAAACTGCAAGCAAGGGGGTGCCTCCAGGTGTCTGAGCTGTCGGCTATGGTGAAGCCGAGCCCGAAGTATTAAAGCATTGTTGTTGCACGTAGACATTTCCTACTAATTCTGTATGATTCCCAATTCTGATGTCCATCTCTATTTTTTTTTTTTTTCAGTAGGTTTTGTTTGGTTATCTGGTTATTTCAGAAGCTGGAGCACATCCCCCATGCAGAAAGGCTGAGGGAGCTGGGCTTTCTCAGCTGCGAAAAGAAAAGGCTTCAAGCAGACCTCATTGTGGCCTACCAGTCCTTAAAGGGAGCGTATAAACACGAGGGAGACCGACATCTTACATGTGCAGTTAGCAAGAGGACAAGGGGTAATGGCTTTAAATGAAAGGATAGTAGATTCAGGTTAGATGTTAGGCAGAAATTCTTTACCATAAGGGCAGTGAGGTGCTGGCACAGCTGCCTGGAGAAGCTGTGGGTGCCCCATCCCTGAAGGCACTCAAGGCCAGGCTGGATGGGGCCCTGGGCAGCTGAGCTGGTGGGAGTCAGCCCTGCTCATGGCAGGGGGCTGAGAATGGGTGGGTTTAAAGGTCTCTTACAAAACAAACCATTCTGTGATTCCCAAATTTGGAAAAATTAAGAGGAGGTAGACCAAAGCAATGGCTTGGAGGTGGATTGGAAGGTAATGTAAGGTAAGGACCTAAGTTGCCAGAGGAGGTTCCAGTTGGATATTAGGAAAGTTTCTTCTTAGAAAGAGTGGTGAGGCAGTGGCACAGGCTGACCAAGGAGGTGGGGGAATCACTGTTTCAGGAGGTGCTCAAGAAATGTGCAGATTTGGCACCAAGGGACATGGTTAATGGGCATGGTGGAGATGGGCTGACAGATGGAATAGGTGATGCCAGTGGTCTTTTCCAACCTCTAGATTCTGTGATTCTGTGGTTCTGAAGGAACACACTAGACTGCTGAATCTTTGGTTGAGAGAGACAATGTGTTCCTGTATTCTTTTAAGATACCAAAAAAATGATGTTGTAATTCTGGTTGGGATCTTTTCACATAGAGCGGTGCTGATGATGCTGATGACAACAATATTGAGATAGATTCCGTATTTACATTTTAACAGCCTCATTTAGAGACATTTGGGGTCTGTTATGGAAAACATACAAACTCCCTTTCCCTTTATTGCTGCTAGAAAAATTCTGACTTGACTTTATTCTACAAAGCCTCTTTGCTTTCAGTAGTGGTTCTGCAAAACATAACTTCACATATTTCACATACTTTATTAGTATGAATATTTGTATGAAAACAGGGCCTTCGTTTAAAAGTTCCTGCTTCCTATTCCTCACAGCTCATTGGGTTGGAAGCAATTATGGCTCCCACCACAGAAGGCTCTGATCCCTTCAGAGGATGAAAATATGGGCAGCAATAGGCATCCTTACAAGAATCTGAGCCCTTATTTTCATGCAAATGTTCTCATTTCCTTAGTAATAAAGGATAAACAGAGGAAAACTGAGCAGATATGACACATACGAGAAAAATGAAAGAAAAAAAAAAAGATGTTGAACTTTCTATGTGGGACCCAAAGGTTCTGAAATGTTATAATGATGCCCCACGTTCAGCTTTGCTTGCTTTCATCCAGAAGGAGAAAGTGTGCTCACAGAATTGAGAACTTTTTTTATTGCTCAGGATTTTCTCTTCCTTCCATAGATGATGTATGTTACTCAGCTAGAGCAACACTGATGTAAATCAGCTCCTGGAATATCACCCAGTATGATGGCAAAACCAAGCCAGGACCAATAGGAAGGTGCTGAAAATGCCAGCAGCCTCTCTCTGTTAGCGTTCTTGGCTTTATTGCTGTGGAAGAAGATGTGATAATGGGAATTTGGCCCTAAAGTTCCCTCTCGGGTTGCACAGTGGCTGTTCAGGCACAACACATGTGGTTGCCCAGCTGGCACATTGCTCCTACAGTGGGAGGAAACTGCAGAGGAAGGAAAATGAAGAGAATTATTCCGTCCGAAATATTTGACAGAACATAACTTTAATCCCTCCCTGGTATAAAACATCCAAATTGCACTTCTGCTTCTGAAATGGATGACGGTGTGAGCAGCGCAGGGTCCTCACACTGCTTTGTAATGTCAGGGAGACCATCAGCTGGAGACCAAAGCAGGAGGAATGAGAGTCACTTCTTCCTTCACTGCTTTGTGGTTTTCAGCTCCTTCACCCAACTGATGTTTCTTCATGGATGAAATCTGCACAAAGTACTTCCCAAAGTTGTGCTGCTGTGGTTCTAACACAAGGTACCCATGTTCTTTACATGAAAACACTGTGCTTATCTTCTGCTCTATGTGTAGGGTCACAGAATGGTTGTAAAAATGCAGCCTTTCAGAAACAAACCTTACAGGCAGCTCTGACACAGTAACATGTTTGTGCCATGTTAATGTCCCAAATAAAACTATCACTGATACACCAAGCAAATGCTGTTAATATCAACTTTAAACAACAGAAGAGTGTAAGTAGTGACTATCCTCACATGACTTATCTCTGTTTATCTACTGCATGCTTCTTATGCTGATCCCCTTGTTCCTGTTAAAATACCAAGTACCTCTTATTCAATATAACCCCAATCTGAACAATAGCAGCAAAAGAAAGATCATTATAATATATATATATATGTATATATATAATTTTCTTTTTTAAAAGGAAACACAAGCAATGCAATTATTTAAATAGAACCATGGAATGGCTTAGGTTGGAAAAGACCTTGAGGATCATTAGTTCCAACTCCCTGCTGTGGAGTATTCTCACAATAACTGGGGAATTAAACATTAAAGTGGGGTGCAGATCTCAATTTGTGGAGAGAAAAATTGGTTTTCTTTGGATTTTGATTTGGGTTGGAAGGTTGTCCCAGCTGTTGTTATTGGTTTGCCTGTTGGTTTGCCTGCTGCCATGTGTGTGCTCTGACATATCTATGCTGACCAAAGCAGCTGTTAGAAGCCATTGCACCAACGAACTATGCTTCTGCTTGCAGTTATTCAGGGAAGAGAACACCTGGAACAGAGAATTCCAACAAAAGCACAGGTTTAATGATAGTAAACAGCATCAAAACTAGAGGTATGAATACACCGAGTAGCCCTGGATTGCTGTAAGAGTGTGACTGCTACCAAAGCTCAGATATTTTAACTTCCTCCTAACATGACATCCTCAAACTCCTCAGTGATTGCATTGTATT